CATATTATTTTTTAAGATCCTTCATCTCCCGTTTATTGATGACTCCTGATCGAAAATTTAGCAATATGGCTGATGGCTTCTGCAGTGCCATTGCATATAAATGTCAGATAAATAGTTTGCCGGTTGGGGGCCTGGCCATAAGCCATAAAATTGCAGAGGCGAGGCCAACGTTGCGTATACGCAACGCCAAGAAGACAAGATGGGTGGCGGATGATGGCGTAGAAGAGGCAACTCAACTTCGCTAACAAAGTTATGACAAGGATTTATGAAGTATGCATTTAAAATGAGCAGCTATTTGCCGTTTTGCAGTTGAAGTGTGCTTAAGAATTTGTTTAAATCTTTAAGCCGGAGTCCCTAAAAAGGCGAAACAAATCTCGGACTCGCCTTGAAAACATTTGCTATTCCCACGCAGTTGAAACAAAAATTCGAAAACATTGTCTTGTGCATCTGCGTGTGTGCTGTTTGCCTGCCAGTTGCCGGGTGTTTGCTGTTTGCCCCGTTTGTTTGCATACAAATTCTTCAGACGACGAGCGGAGACGCCGCCGCATTTGTTTGCCGAGGCAACAGGCATCTGACAACTGGGAAAAGGAGTTGTCTTTCGGGCCGGGTCTTTCTGTGTTCTCCAGGCCCATTCTCAGATACGTGCATATAAAAATTCACATATAAATCAGCGACACATTCGCCATTCGTGTCCCACATTTTCCTCTCGCCCAGTGCCATCTGTAAACATATCGTTATTTATCCATTTACCCCGTTCCACGTGACAGACGCCCAAGAAAAAGGGACTCGAGGAGGGGCTTTTAGTGTAACAATATGTTGGTTTTCCTGGGCGCTCGGGATGCCAGTTAATAGGAGAACATGATGTGGTTGCGGTGCTCAGACAATGTTCTATTGCTCGGGCAATAAAACAGAAGGTTGGGCGAAAGTCAATCAATTTCAACAGAATGGTTTTAATTCAAGCATTTTGTTGGGGAAATGTTTTTAATAAAAATAAACATAAAGTTTCGTAGAATGTGTAGAAATTCTTTGTTTGGTAACTAATTTCAGGCAGCAGTACTTCTGTAAATGCCAACAAATACAAATTTTCATAAGACGACAAATAATTGAATAAAATATTATTCACTTATGTGTGATAAAAGCAACTATAAACAGTTTAATATTTTGATAATTGATAAGTTTCCTTTGTTATTGACTTTTATAATAATCGTTTGTAAATTGTTTATTTTTGAAAAAAAACATTCAATTTTTGTTCACAATAAAGTCATTCAGTTATTAAGTTTTAAAATTATAATAGCCTTTTCAGGCTATTGTTGATTAATATAATACATAATTTTATATAATATTTTATATATTTATATTAATTATATTCTTCATAGCGACTTAAGTTATTTAATTAATAATTTTGTATCTCTTTTCTTTATTATATTGATTTTTACATTGATTCATAATTACACATATGCTTAGTAAGAAAAGCAACTTTTGTCAGCAGTTACTTATTTGAAATTCTGTAAGCTTGGCATTCCTTTTTCATGTGGAATTTCGCTCACTCGAAGCCGTATTCCTATTTATAAGTTGTATCTGTTTGCATCTCTCCACTTAATCCCGGAAACCGTGTCCCCGGTGAAGCCATTCTCTGAATGTTTTTCATCCCCACCCCGAAACTATTATCAAAGCTTTTTGTTGGCGACCACAACATGAATATAAATCCAGTTCTATGCTCGTACTTACTCCTTATTTTTCTCCTTTTCGCGCTCAATGGTTCTCATTATCAAGGCGGCGGAGTAGAGTGGGAAATATGTATTTTTATATACACATGATGAGCTCGATTTTCTTTTCATTTTCATTTTCGTAATAGTGCTCTGACAATTTTCATGTGAACTGGCGACGATTTTTCACCGTCACTCTGCGGCGAACAGGAGTGCTCTGTGGCAGGACGAGACAGGACGAGGCAGGATGCAGGGACCTTCTGCTCGGCTTGGTTTCTTTCGGGGAACAAGCGCTGGGCAGGAACTTGAGCAGGAAGCAGGAAAGGCAACGTATCCAGCGTCTCTTACGTTTCTCCATCCCATTCTTGCTACGTGACGTCTTTCTCTCGAGACGTTACAAGATTTATTGTATGCAAGTTATGGGTTGTGTGTGAGATGGCCCCAGTGTGGGTGCCCGTTTGCACTTGTGTAGGTGTAAATATGCAAATCGCTTTTTTGCCACGCAACTGAAATGTGCTTAAAATTTGCAAAATTGTAGTTCATTTTTATATTCTGTCGAATTGTGTGCTTTTTGTTTCCCCTTTTCACCTTGACAATTGTCCTGGGGCCAAAACTGCTGCACACAAAATACAAACAGGGTTTTTTTTCCCTACGACCAAGTTTGATTTGGCTTCCCCAGATTTACCCGAACGCATCCATTTCTCATTGGTCTTCTTGTGGCTTGTTTATTCTTTGCTTTGTTGTGCCTCTTAACAAGAGTTTGAGTGCCATTTTTCGCTTTGGTTTTTGGTTTATGGTCGAGAACCATTCTTAGGTTACTAAAAAAAAAGGCAGTCAGCAAGGAAGCAGTTATTCTATAACCGTTTATTCTTTATACTCTATAGAAGTAGGGAACATAAATCAACTAAATATACTAAATTTGATTTTGCATTTTTAAAATTGTGGTATATTTCATATCAGTAATTTATTTTAGCCACGACTTTTTTGTTCCTCAAATACATTTATTTGCTTGTAAATTAAAATTATTTAAATGCTTTAAAAACAGATTGTGTAAGTGTATTTAAATAACTTTAACTGCCTTAATCTTTTCCTTATCCTTTTTTTCTTTTTGCAATTTCCCTGCAGGCTTAGCCTTAGGTAAATTCCAATTCATACGAATTAAACCCTTTACGTCTATTCGTAGCTATACAACTTAATTGAAAATTAAAAAGGTGCACATAAAAAATTAAAATTAATTTCGTGCCGTTTGACCAAATTCAATTTGACCGTATTTTTGGGCAAAAGTGTTTTGCTCTACTCCCATTTAATTCAACGGATGAAGTGAGCAAATTCCGAATTTCCCATTTAACATTTAAGCATGGCCGTTTTTAAAAATGCATTTTAGGCCACACCGCTCGTTTGTGGCGGATCTTTTAAACTTTTTTGCTGGGACAGCGCTGAACTTGAACATAATCCGAGAGGGAGGAGGAGATGGAAGATAGATATCCGGGAGGCAGGGGGCAAAAGGCATAGCGTGTAAAATGGCCAACGAAAATTGCAGCTGCCAAGCAAACACATGCAAAAGCCGCAGCCGCCACTTCCGCGAGTGCCAGTCCGGGGAACCCCAGGATCCGCACTTCCCGCCTTCCTTCCCGGGATGCCTCATTTGGCGGCTCGTTGTGGTAAAGAGCTCCAAAAAACATGGCACTGCGAAGTGGCTGGACTAAAGCATACTCAGGCTTAAATAGAAAATGGCATTACAACTGTTACATACATTTAAAAAATTGAATAATTTAAATATTGAAATTTAACATCATTTTCGTTCTGCTAAACTCTATTAAAAACATTTTTTTCAAACACTTAGGAGGAGTTCTGTTCTCAATAAATCAATAATTCAAGCGTCAATTAAATGATTAAATATTTAATTACTGATGCGGCTTAAAATTTTGCATTTTAAATTTACATTTTAACTATATAATTTAATTAAATACATTTATGTGAGTTAATGACTGTTTAAGGCTACTCGTAGTCAACTTTGTAACATTTTCATTTGTATAAGATACATTACATTTAATTATCAAGTAAAAACACAAATTAATTTTTTTGATACAATAATTTTTCCAACCTTTGTGCTTAGTCTAGCATAACCATAACCATTGCTACATAGGTACTATAACAACGGCCGAGTTAGCAAAAATGTTTAAACAGCTGGTAAAATACAAAGGACAAAAAGGGCGTAGGTAAATTTATGGGGAGGGGTGTGAACCTGTCGGAACACAAAATCTGACGCCTAAACGCAGCTTAGCGATTAAAGCGCTTTTCAAATTTGGCCTCAGGGGGATTTTTAAGCGACCAAAGCTGGGAAACATTTTGTTTTCCTTTTTTGCCGCTCCTCGATGTTTGTTTTGGCTGGGAGAACAGGGCCCAAAGGGAGCTAATGCCAGGGTAGTGTTAATTTTGCTCCGAACTGCAGCGACAAGTTTATTTTGGTTCGTTGTTTTCGCTTCTGCAGCATGCTTTGTGGCGTTTGCGGTTGTGGATTGGCAATTCCCAGGGAATTGGGGATAAATAGATACATGTACGTACGTACAAAGTGTTTACAAGCATTACGGGTGCTTAAGAGTTAGTTAATTGAGAGGAGAACTGGTTGAACCGCGACAATTTACTATAAAAAACCTAGGAACATTTAATAAAAAGAATTGTAAGCAAAGAAGATTATTCCTAATTGATAACGAATTTGATACGTGGCATCAATTTGCTTTGCCAATTTTCTATTCACCACACTTCACAACATTTAATATCCGTTTAACAAGTATTTCCCATTTTCAAGTCATCTTTACTTCTCTGCACCGATCAATTTGTAATTTCTCCCCATTCAAATGCACAAAAACGAATTGCATAATTTCCAATATTTTCTCGGCAGCAGTGGACAAGAAAAACCCTCTCCGAATTTCAAACCCCCCAATGTCGAGCAAGTCACAGTCACAGCTTGCGACATTGGCAATGTTGTTGCTATATTGTTAAATAAATCAAAATCCGAAATCACAGGAACCAGACCCTCGAGCTAAACTGGCACGCCAAGTGCCAAATGGAGTGGGGGAATCCCCGGGGTGGGGGTGTTCGAGTGGGCGGATCGAGTGGGTGGCGACTGTTATTGATGTGCTTTTAATTGAGGCTTGTGTGTCTGGTGCATGTTGCTGTCAGCTTTCAGCACCAGCTCCTCCCCGTCTGGCATTCGAACCCCTTACACTGTCGCTTGTCCAATCATTTGACTCATAACGGAATTTTATTAGTTTTTCAGTTGGCAACACTTACCGGCAGTCGACGTGTGGGCCATGCAAATGGTCAGCATCAAAACTGTCAGGCCGATGGACCCATGGACACCCCACAAATTCCCCCAATCAATCCGCCTCCGACGACCCCGCCGCTGTTGGTTATTATTGCATTTTTTCCTAGACATCTGCAGATCTGTTCCGGAATCCTCCTGATGAAATTCGAGGCAGAGTCTCAGCTGGGATGGCTCCGAGTGCTTCTCTCTTCTGTGCATTTCTGTGGCTGCAATACAAGATGAAGTGGGTACTTTGTAATAAAACACTTTAAGCTCTCTAATTATTAAATCCGTATTTATTATGCAAGTGGGCAAATATCTCTTCTTTATTGATTTCCCCTAATTTATACCAAGTCTGCTGCATCAGCCAGAAACTTTCAGAATTAAAAAATGTCAAATTATTATAAGTTTCTGGTGAAAGTTGAGGAGGGAAAGAGGAAGTTCAGGGTTCAAGGCGACTGTTACCAAAAGAACTAATTGAAAAAGTCAATTGGATAGTAAGAACGTGATGGACAAACTCATCTGACCCTGGGAAATAAAATTTAATGAAAGGAAGCATAAAATGATTTACAATATGTTTAAATATGAGATAATTCTGATTTATTTAAACAATGCTACTTTTGACATTTTAAAACTTTTTAAATTGGCTTCATCGCTTTGAATTATTATTAAATCAACTTTGTATAAAACAAAACAAAGCTCACATTAATTTAAACGTCCAAGCTTCAGCCAAACGAAATCATATAATTAGCATTTATTAAGTTTTCGCATTCTTAACAGCGCATGGTTAACACAATAAAGATGTTTAATATTTTATGGTAAGTGATTTATGTCAAACATGCCATGAATATTTCATGTCAACATAATTTGGTTAACGGTTAACATTTGTAGTAACAGGAGGAATGTGAGATGCTTAATTTGATAAAACGCTTTGCATTCGATCAGATTGGACTTGCATAAAATTACTAGAATTTGCCATTTGCCTGCTAAAAATGCGACAACGATATTCGACTTATGTAAATTAATGAAGAGCGTATTTGACAGATACAACAGCGTATTTGACGGATACAATATTGATAAAAAAATACATTAGTACACTACTGAAACTGTGAAACGAATTCCGGGAGCGGCTAGAACAATGCAAAGTGTTGTACAATTTGAGGCAAATTAAATATTAATTAGTGTGGCGTGTGCATAAAATTTAATTAATGTTTTTACGCCCTAGGTGTTAATAATTAATGAGCGTGAGTTGCTTTTTTGCTCTTTATGTCTGGGCGTTGGGAGTAGCTGTTGATTTACGGATAATTAAGCAGATTGCAAAGTTATGCACAATAAATAAATATTTAATCAATCAATTTGCGAGAATCGGTGTGCAAATGTATCAATCCATTTGTGGAGCAGAACTTTTAAAGTAGTTTAATGTGTTAATTTAAGAGTTTTTTATTGGACTTATTAAAGCTTTCCATGGTCTTTACTGCATATAATATTGGAAATATTTTAATAAATGTTTATTTACCAATCACACATTCCTGGACTTTTGTGTGTCGGGTAATTTTTAATTTCGCTTCATAGCTTAGCTTAACGTTTCTCGGCGAACACAAACTTTGTTGCTCACAAAATTTTTACTGATGTTTAAATAATTTTGCAAAAGTATTGAAAAAATCGAGTAGTTATTTTGTAAATATTTTGTAAAAATGTCTAAAAATTATGGTAAGTTTGAGCCGCTAATTCACTGAAAAAGCGAACTTTACTGAATTTTAAGGACCTGGACCTGGAGCCTATATGCTGCCCAGCAGCTTTGGACAAAAAGGACCTCAGTTTTCTTTTGGCCGCAGAATTGATCGGAGGAAGCACGAGAAGCTTGGTCCTGGCCCAGCTGCTTATAAGGTGGATAAGGTGACCCGATACGGCAACTCGGTGGGCCCCCAGTTCTCCATATTGGTTGGGAGTTCCAGGATCAAGGCACTTCCCGTCAGATTCGCTTAAAGTGTGGAATCTGATGCCTTTTAAGTAAACGTTTCTGCCAGGAAGTCCTTGTGATAGTAAACTCTAATTAGGCTTTATGTACCAATAGTTTTATTATGCAGGAATTATTTCAGAACTATTTAGCAGATTAAGTGAGCTCTAGCAGATAAATATATCATGATGGTGCCACATCTTACTTTGTTAGCCGCATCAATTGCAAGTGGCTAATTGTTTTGAAATTAAATAACAGATTTTATGAACCCTTACACATTTCCCTGAACCGGTTCTTTAGGGGACAACCCGCACAAACCCCTGATTTGTATTAATTAATCGGCAAGACATTGACGTATGTACAATTTGCATTCAAATCGATGCCATGGCAACTGGGATTACTAATCGCCAATTCCCTTTAACTCCTTAATTAATTCGATGACACATTCAAATCGACCGGGTAGATGGATGCACCAAATGCAAATTGGCAGCGGAAGGCGGGAGTAATGATAGCCTGCGGTGGCCGGTGATACGAGTATTGATACACAATGCGGCGACAACCACTTGTTGGGCCAGAAAAGCCTTTTGCCCAGGACTCTCCACGTGGAGGGCTTTGAGGAGGGCTCTTCAGCTGACTGTTGGGCTTTGTGACTGCCCGACTGGAGGACGTGGAACTGTAATGAAGCCGCCGGCCGAGCTCTTAAGTAACTCACTTTGCAGTCCAGTCGCAGTCGCCGACTGAGTGAACTGGCCAAAGGAGCAGCTTTTGGCTTCTTCTAAGCGAAAGCCTGTTATTTTCCCCGCTGCCTGTAATAATCACACAGTAAACAGGCAGCGAACTGAAAACATGACTCGGGTTGGGATGGCACTGGTACACAGAAAAATATCTTTTGTGTTTGGGATTTATGTGGTAATTTTTTTGATAATATAAAAAAACAACTATTTAACTTAAAGAACTTAGTAAGTCAAAACATGGTCAAAAGATCTTTTTATAAAGCCATATTTATTTTCTAAATACAAACTGTTTGAAAAAGTCGAACTTTTAAAATCAGGAAATTCGTTTTTAAATGTGGTGCTGATTGGCAAAATTCAGTAAAATAAACAAGTGATTTAGACTGGAAATGTAAGTAATAATGTAAGTAACTTGAATTTTAAGAGCGATTATTTTCGCTATATATTTGTTCTGCTTACAAAATTGGTAACACTTTTAAATGAATTTCCCACCAGAGTGTTAAACTTTGACCGGTCATTATAAAGTCACACATGGTCCGCGTTTCTTTCTGTGCACTGGACCTCTTCGTGGGAATGTTCAGAAAGGAAAGGGCTTTGGACTAACTGAGACCTCCCGAAGACCTCTCCCCCCCCCCACCCATCTGATGCGATGGCTGCCAGCCCAGTTGTAATTGCAACGTCAACGTAAATGCATGGCACCAGCAGCAGCGACTCAGGAATTTCACGGATGTGCGATGTGCGTGCATTTTGCAGATGCTCAAGCTGACCGCCGCCTGGACATCACGTATTCGCACAGGCACACCGACGGGAGTCCGCATTTGATTGCATTTTCGCTGCTGCAGGATGCGGATGGGGATGAGGGAAGGGCGGGGATCTCGGGAGCTCGGAAACTGGGGAGCTCTTCCCCCGCCCCGCACCCAACCCCTCTTCGACCCGAAGATTTATCTGTGCGCGTTTATTTTAATGTTACGTTCTGGCATCTTTGCTCATTTTTGCCTGCCGCCGCTTTTACTCAGTCTTCGTATTATACTCTTTGCCAAAGGTGTTATCACTGATGCCGTGCATTTGTAAAATAGAGGCAGCGTCTTCTTCATATTGTAAGAAAATTGGCTTATTCAATTTATTTATTTTATTTTAATTTAATTTACTTGAACTTCCTACTTAAACTAACCAAAAAGCAATAAAATTGAGTAAGTCCTGCATAACCTATTATATTTGTTTCAAAATAAGAGAAATTAAAATCAGAACGACAAAATTATGGAGAACTTAAATGCAGTCAAATGGTTTCTTAAGCATCAACAAATTAAATAATTTTAGAAAACTTTTTAGTTGAGCTTTAAGTTAAAGTTGTAAAACTAATGTGATAGATTATGAAAAAATGGTTCGCAAAACATTGGTCAAATCAATCGTGAACAATCCAATTCCTTAGCGGAACTGACGGATTTGGTGGACATTTTCAACTAGAAATTCTGAAATTGAAGGCGTCTATCTAGAGCCTTATCAAAAATGTGAAAAATGACTTTGGTTTGAATTACCGTTTCAGTCATCGTCAAGACTAAATTAAATTCCAAATTTGAAGTCTTTTATCTAAAGGTAATTTTGATAATGAATGAATTTGGATTTTATGCCGTCTTCGGACATCTATTAAATAAAACTCTCAAGTTGAAGGCGTCTATCCAAAGATGGCCTTTACCTAATTAAACAAGTAAATCTTCGATGCAGTGATCTTATTTCCAACCACCGCCAAGAACACCTTTCAAGGGCATCTAATCTTCGCGTGAGTAGGGTAATAGTGGCCGTCTTGCTGGGTTTTTGGTTTGTTTAAGCAGCCTCTTTCGATGCATTGCCCATTGGCTGGATGTCTCTGTCTTTATGAAGCCGTGGCTGCAGGTTGCCATCTCCATCTGCCCATCAGCAGCACCATCATCATCATCCGAGGCAGCAGCAGAAGCTGCATCCCATCCTCGATGGCGTGCCATTCCTGAACGTGGTACGTTGACCGCTCGGAATGTTGATTCATCTTCTTGGGTATAACTGCTGCTGCTAGTTTGCACGGACTACGACTACTCTCTGTTTTTTTTACAACTCCACTTGCTCTTTTATGTCAATCCGTGAGCTGGCTGCTCCGCGTTTATGGGCCATCATCGTCATCGGTTGGAAAATGGTTGCGTCTATTTTTAGTGGAGCACATGCGTCGCTTTCCCTGCTCTATTCTATTCCTGGCTCGTTCAGTATGTTAGATCCCATGTCGGACTCGGACTCGGGCTCTCTATTATTCCCATAATAAGCGAAGATTGCCCTTAAGTGGCTGACAGGCTTTGAGCGTACATATAATGCATTCTTCTTTATTTTTAGCACGATCTCAGCCTGTCTGGCCTGTTGCATGAATAATTGCCAGTTAGGTTTGCAGGCCCACATGATCGGAGTGGATAATTGTAAATGGGCATAGAACTTAATTGCATTTAAATGCTGGGAGGTGTGGCTACTGCTGAAAAGCAGCCTAAGAAATTCTGCTTAATGGGAGGCCTCAAAAAAGTACAACTAGATTTCAATCGTAACTTTAAATGTCTGTCACTATAGAAAGATTCGGATGTTCGATAATAGTTCCCAATAACTTTAAAAGATTTATTTTAATTTATTGCTTTACAATAGTTTGTTTATTATACCCGTTACTCGTAGAGTAAAAGGGTATATTGTATTCGTGCAAAAGTATGTAACAGCTAGAAGGAAGCGTTTCCGACCCTATAAAGTATATATATTCTTGATCAGGGTCACTAGCCGAGTCGATATAGCCATGTCCGTCTGTCCGTCTGTCCGTCTGTCTGTCTGTCTGTCCGTATGAACGCTGAGATCTCGGAAACTATAAGAGCTAGAAGATTGGCATTTTGCATGCAGATTCTAGGAGTTCCTACGCAGCGCAAGTTTGTTTCAAAAAGGTGCCACGCCCCCTTTAACGCCCACAATCGCTTATATACGATTTTAAAAATTTAAATATTTCGGAAAAGTAAAAATGCAGTTTTATTGTGTTTATCAATACCTATCGAAATGTAGAAGAAAATTTTCAAATCGGACCATTCGTTAAAAAGTTATGCGTGATCAAAGTTTCTATCTCCATCTCCCTCGCACTCCCTTTACCTGAGTAACGGGTATCTGATAGTCGGGACACCCGACTATAGCGTTCTCTCTTGTTTTAAAATAAACTTAGTTTGAAACTTTGTTTAAAATATAAAGTAGAAAGACATTAGATTAAAAGTTTTCTTTTCGTTCATGACACTACTTTTTTAATTAAACGAATTTTAAAAATACATTAAAGTATCGTAATTTAAATATTTTTCATAAAAAGGAATTTTCGTAGTTTTAGTGGAAATATATTATTGTAACTCCAAAAGCTTTATTTTTGTTCAGGACCCTTCATTAGTTGCTTATGTTTCTATTAAACTTATTTTGAAAAACATGTATACAAACATATTATTTACTACATTCTTTAAGGGGTTAAGAAAAAGCCATATTTTCATTATATTCTATTATACCCGGAAAACCTAGAAGGAAATCATGCACGACTTCCTAGCCCATGCTTAATATTCGTCTCATCCGAATCCATTCGGATAACTGTCATTAGCAATTCAGGCAATCAAAATCAATGAAACACTTTTGGCAAAACAAAACGTATTCGTAACAAAAGATAATGTTAATTTGACAGCCCCGGGCAATTGATTCAGTCCATCTGACAAACACAGGCACGTTGATTGAAGGGTCATTACAGGGTTAAAGGAAGTCGGAGCTTCGATTCGAGCTGACCTCACACGCACTTGGATTTATTTATTCTATTTCCGATTTTAATTGATATTACTAAGTTGAGTTGTTGTCTTTGGTCTAACCTCCCCTTGATTAGCCATAATCGACCCTGTTCCACGCACGTGACTTGTTTAAGTGAGTGCTAAAAAATATTTTTCGCGTATTTAATGTGCCTGCTAAAATTGGGGAAAATTGAGCGTCTATGCCGAACTAGTCACAGCAAATAAAACTATTAATTTAATTGCTTGGTTTTCGTTTGGTTGACCCAATTGTTTTGGGAAACATCGAGAACCCCGTTTATGAATATGAAATTTATTTTCGCAATATTTGCTTCCCTCTGTTTTTGGTGAATACCTTTAAACGGTTACCTTAACTTCAGTCAGCCGGAAAGATCCCCATAAAGCTGCTGAAAGTCATCGTCGGTCAGCTTAAACTAAGCTATCGCATTAAAAGTTTTCAAGAATTTAAGACCCATTTAATGTGAGTCAAAAAGTCAATAAACCCTAACGCTGAACGTCTTCCTGCTGTTCAGCGAAAAAAAAGAAGCGAAAAAACCAAAACAAGAAAACAAAAGTGGAGCAACAAAAACCTGTCACGTACAACAAAAGTGCATTCACATTTTGAAAGTCAAAGCGGGAGAGCGAACTTTTAATGTATCTTCGATGGAGAAGCCACCCCGATTCAGATACATTTCTATCTTAAAGCCGCATCCCAACAACTTTCGTTGTTGGCCAAAGACAAACTCAGC